CAGATATAGTGAATGCAGGGTCCTGGGAGAGCGGATATAGTGAATGCAGGGTCTGGGGAGAGCAGATATAGTGAATGCAGGGTCCTGGGAGACCGGATATAATGAATGCAGGGTCCTGGGAGACAGGATATAGTGAATGCAGGGTCTGGGGAGACCAGATATAGTGAATGTAGGGTCCGGGGAGAGCGGATATAGTGAATGCAGGGTCCTGGGAGACCAGATATAATGAATGCAGGGTCCGGGGAGACCAGATATAATGAATGCAGGGTCCGGGGAGACCAGATATAGTGATTGCAGGGTCCTGGGAGACCAGATATAGTGAATGCAGGGTCCGGGGAGACCAGATATAGTGAATGCAGGGTCCGGGGAGACCAGATATAGTGAATGCAGGGTCCGGGGAGACCTGATATAGTGAATGCAGGGTCCTGGGTTTAGTAACACTTTAATAGTGATTTCTTATTATGTTTTTACGCTTCCTTTAAACATCCTCTGTAAGCTCCGAAACCTCTCCTTTTCCCGCTCGTCTCTCTTTGAAATAAGTAGTGCACACTGATTGTGGTCATGTGCACTGCTCTATGTACACCCCCAAATCCCATAGTCCATTTCAGGAGCAAGCAAGTGAGGGTGGCTACAATCCTGCATACAGTGGAACCATGGAGAACACATAGCCAAAAGCAGCCATGAGTTTGTCTTTTCTCTCCCTGGCTGGCTCCTGGCTATAATGTAAAAGTGATCCAGGCGTCTATCACAGTGCTGGCAGTGATCTGCTTTCTGACCTCGTCTGCTGCGTAAGAAGCTGGAAGAGCTCAGCTCTGAGCAATTCCAGTTTCAGAGCTGTTTCCTTGGCTGCTGTAGATGGGGAAGCAGCTGATCAAGCACAATCTGTGCTTGAATAGCTCATTAGAGGGCAGGAGAGACATTGGGGGTCTAATGGATCCCTGATATCTCCATAAAGAGAACTTGTGACCTGCCCAATGCCATCACATTGGGGGCTTGCTAGCAGTAAATTTAAATGAAAAAAAAAATCGAATTAAAAATGTAAAAATAATTATAACTAGAAAATCTACAATTTCTGGGGAAATTGTGTGAAGTGTTCTTGCAGGCAACCCCTACCAAATGATTGATGAAATGTAAGCAGTGCACATGGCAAGCCTGATAGAGGGAGAAATGCATTTCAGCTTGTATTTTGCAGCTCACAGTCCAGCCTGGTGACTCATCTGCCTGTGAGTCACCTTTGGTTGCTATAGCAACTCACTCAGTCACAGGAATGTGAGAAGTGCTGTTCTAAACACACTGCTCCAACTTGCCAACTTCACTGGCGATTGCCACCTTCAAACACTTGTAGTTTTAAAAGTATAAATGCTACAGCGAAGAGCTTGATATTGTAAGAATCACAAGAAGCAGAGCTAAATTTTGATGTATAGTATGTCTCTGCAATATTAAAAATGAAGGCACAGTCACAGTTTAAATATGTCCCTTAACATTTCAGGTGGCTGTGAGTGAAGTTTCAATGAAAGTCAATGGGAGGGGTGAGTTGCAAACAAATGGTCATATTGTGAAAACTATCAGGAATATGGCTTAGCTGTGATTTTTAGTGACAGCAGGGATAGCTGAACGTTTTGATATAAGATATGTGTAGGTGGGCTTGAAAATGACAGAGTGATGGCAGTTTAGAAATCATGTCCTGATTTTTCCTTCCACACTGTAGCTTTGCAGGTTCCCACTCTAGTTGCTCCATTCATTCCTATGGGAAAATTTCACCAAAAAAACCGCGATATTTCGTGAACGATTCGGCAAAACGTTCCACAAAGTAACAGCAATCCGATCGAGAACAATCCGCACGTTTTGATATATTACTTGTCTTTGTAGTGTAAAAACTGTGGGAGGAGTTAGCGTGGCAAATTTGGCTAGAATAAGAATAAGAATATATTTGTGAGATAACAATAAGTGTTCTTTGCAAGAACACTTAATAACATTTAATTAAAAGAAACTGGAAAGTAACTCCATCATCCTGTGCAGACTTGAAATGCAAATGCTTGCACAGGGAGCGCATGTGTATGTAAATCGTGATTGCACTACACATGGAAAGGTCGCAGTGAAAGCAATAATTCTAAAGCCCTCATTTATGACTTACGTATTCTAAATGAATGAATTGCCATTTAAAGCCTCACCTATTGGTAATTTTGGGTCCCCATTTTTCAGGTGTATGCATTGAAGCTTGACAAAGCTGCCATCTATTTATTCTTCAATACCTTGTCTTTTATTTTGTACAAAAAAATGGAAATTAAATTGTATTTGTGTGTACTAAAATTCATTTTAGTGTATTTCTTCCTACAAATATAGATTTGATTAATAGAGGCGCAAACATTGTGCAACATAAAAAAAATTGCCACAACCATCTTTTTATTCTACAAGGCTTTTTATTTCAGAAAATATATAGTTTAAGTAGTTTTATAGGCAAAAATGTAGATTTTAACAGGTGTGCAAACAATTAAAGGTAAACTGTTTAACAAGTGGATACGAGACACTTTCAGTGGTCAATGTAACAGATCAAAAGGGGGCAAATAAAAAAAAAATAAATAAATAAAAAAGTTTAAAAAAAAATTATAATAACATTTTTTTTTGTTTACAAACTTTATTGGAAAGGCAAACTACAAAGACTGTGCATTATATAAAATGTAACACAATGAACAGTAAGAAAGGAGCAAACATGTAATTTTCCTTTGCAGAAAGACAATCACAAAGTAAAAATCAAGTACATGAAAGAAGCATACAACAATGTTGGCATATCAACAGCGCAACTCACAAAAAATGAGGACAGATCTGGTTGGGATAGGCATTCAATCTAACAGCAGATGTCGATGTATCCTCCAACCATCCCATTTATTGTTGAATAAATGCATTCTATATAAAGTGGGGCAGCACAGTGGCTTAGTGGTTAGCACATCTGCCTTACAGTAAATGGGTCATGGGTTCCTAACCATGGCACCTCCTGCATGGAGTTTGCATGTTCTCCCTGTGCTTGCATGGTTTCCTCTGGGTACTCTGGTTTTCTCCCACACGCCAAAGACATGCTGGTAGGCTAATTGGCTCCTGTCTTAAAATTGTCCTAGTTTCATCCCTGCCCATGCAGGATCTTCTGCATGGTAGGGGTTGGGGAAAGACCTGGCAACCTACCCTGTAAGAATAATTGCTAAGAGCATTCATGGAAAAAGTCACTTACAAGTGACAGTTCATGCAATCACCAAGGATCAGATACAACTGAATGGTCAGATAGATCTAATAAAGTGTAATGGATACATTCCATGAGCATGACCATGTCAATTCTCCATAAAACAGACACTAATGGGACTACAGGTGATTTTCAATGCAAGGCTATGGCCCATAGGGTGGAAATGCAGATGGTATGAACAGGGGCAGACTGACAACTCATGGGGCCCCCAGGCAATAGGGGATCATGGGGCCCCTGTGTCTTTTCCCAAACTCAAAAAAGCCTATGAAAAAGGTACCAGGGGCATCTCATGGGGCCCCCTACAGACCCCAGGCCCTCAGGCAGTGCCCAAGTTTCCAAATGGTCAGTCCACCCCTGGGTATGAATCAACCTCTTCAAACTGGCAGGAACCCCCAGAATGAACAAACCCCCAAAAAATTCTAATAACATTTAATTAAAAGAAACTGAAAAGTAACTCCATTGTCCTGTGCAGACTCGTTTGCACACCTGCACAGAGAGCGCACTTGTATGTAAACCACTACTGCACCACACACAGAAATGTCGGAGTGAAAGCAATAATTATAAGATCCTCATTTACCCTAGGTTCACACCTACGCATTTTCTACAGCGTTTTGCGTTTTGCAGAAACGCACTACAGTCCATTTAACATGTTTTCCTATGGGACATGTTCACATCTGCGCATTTTCCCCCGTTGCATTTTTTGAAAAGGGTCAGGGAATTTTTTGAATGCAAAAAGTTGCCTTTTTGGTTCTAGAGACTTCAATGGAAATGCTGCAGAAAAGCACGTATTGCATTTTTGCCACATTTTTGATGCATTTTTGATGTGTTTTGCATTTAAATCTGCCTAGCAGCAAGAAAAATGTAAAAAAAAAAAAAAAAAAAAAAAAAAACGCAAAATGCATCAAAAACACAGAAAAAACACAGGTGCAAAAACGCAAAACACAATGCAGAAACGGCTCAAACGCAACCTGCATAGGTGTGAACCTAGCCTTATGGCTTAATCTAAACTAATGAACTGTCATTTTTGATGCATTTTTGATGCGTTTTGCGTTTTAAATCTGCCTAACAGCAAGAAAAATTTAAAAAAAAAAAAAAAAAAAACGCAGAAAAAACACAGGTGCAAAAACGCAAAAACACAATGCAGAAACGGCTCAAATGCAACCTGCATAGGTGTGAACCTAGCCTTATGGCTTAATCTAAACTAATGAACTGTCATTTAAAGCCGCACCTATTGCTAATTTTGGGTACCCATTTTTCAGGTGCAGCTTGACACAGCTGCTATCTATTTATTCTACACTACTTCGTCTTTTATTTTGTACAAAAAAATGTGAATTCAGTTGTATTTGTGTGCACTAAAATTTATTTTAGTATATTTTTTCCTAAAAATATAGATTTGATAAATAGTTGCTCAAATATGGTGCCACATTAAAAATAGCAACTACCATCTTTCTATTCTACAGGGCCTTTCATTTCAGAAAATATAAAAATAAAGTAATTTTATAGGCAAAAAATGTAGATTTTACAGGTATGCAAAAAATGAAAAAAAAAAATGCTCTAGAGGGAAACTGGTTAAAAAACAGATACAATGAGACCCTTTCGGTGGCAAGTGTAACAGACCAAAAGGGGGCTAATAGGAGATGTTCATTCCTAGATTTACATATCCTTTAGGCCCCAGCTTTTGATATTTATTAACAGGTTTTCTTAAATGTTGTACAAATCATGAATAAGCTATGATCTATTATCTCATCTTTTGCTGTATTTCATGTTTCAGGTTCCTGGGGAAGATGCATGGGAGATGAATGTGGGCCTGGAGGGATTCAGACAAGGGCCGTATGGTGCGCCCATATTGAGGGATGGACAACCCTCCCTACAAACTGCAAACAGACCGAAAGACCTGAAAACCAGCAGAACTGTTTTAGGGTGTGCGACTGGCACAAAGAACTGTACGACTGGCAGCTGGGCAGCTGGAACCAGTGTGCGCCGGTCACGTCAAGGGTGTCCGAAAAGCCTTCAGAGTGCACAAAGGGCGAGGAAGGAATCCAGACTCGGGAAGTCGTCTGTTTACAAAAAGCCACCGGGGCGGAGGCCGATGACAGTATATGCGAATATTTCGAGCCGAAGCCCAGGCTAGAACAAGGGTGCCTTATTCCCTGCCCCCAGGACTGCGTGGTGTCTGGGTTCTCCCCCTGGTCAGAATGTTCCAAGACTTGTGGCAACGGCTTACAACACCGAACGCGCCATGTGGTGGCCACGGCCCAGTTTGGTGGGTCGGCCTGCCCAAACCTCACCGAGTTCCAAGTTTGCCAGACATCACCTTGCGATGGGGAGGAGAATATGTACAGCCTCAGTGTGGGACCTTGGAGCTCCTGCTCGATGCCTCTGTCCAGGCATGTCCGGCAAGCCGGCAAAAGAGGGAGGAACAGGGAACGGGCAAAGGAGAGAGAAAAGGCGTAAAGGACCCAGAGGATCGGGAGCTAATTAAAAAGAAAAGAAATCGCAACAGGAAAAACCGCCAAGAAAACAGATATTGGGATATACAAATTGGCTATCAAACAAGAATAGTCACCTGTATGCACAAGAATGGAAAAACCGCAGCATTGAGGTAATTTATTTATATTTTTTTAGTCATCAAACAATAGAGAAAAAGTTGAGATAAAGTGACACAATTCAAGTGGTTGTAAACCTCTGAAATGAAAAACAAACAAAGCATATCTTTCTATGTAAGACATCAAAACAGCGCAGATATATAAATAAATATACAATCCAGTGAAAATTAAACAAATAATAATTAATAAAAAATATATAAAAAATTAAAATTAACCAATTCAATACCGGGCAATTTTACACCTTCCTGCCCAGGCCATTTTTCAGGTTTCAGCGCTCTCACACTTTGAATGACAATTGCGCGGTCATACAACATTGTACCCAAACTAAAATGTTATCATTTTCTTCACACAACTAGAGCTTTCTTTTGGGGGTATTTAATCACCGCTGGGGTTTTTATTTTTTGCTAAATTAACAAAAAAAGACCGAAAATTTTGAAAAAAAAAAACACGTTTTTCTTTTTTTCTATTATACAAGTTTGCAAATAAATAATTGTTCTTCATAAATTTAGGCCAAGATGTATTTTGCTACATGTCTTTGGTGAAAATAACCCAAATTAGGATGTATTATTTAGTTTGTAGGAAAGTTATAGAGTTCACAAACTATGGTATAGATCTGAATATTGATCAATCCTGAAGTACTGGCAGCCAATCTAATTTCTTGAGGTCCAAAAATGTCAGAATAGTACAGATATCCCCCAAATGACCCCTTTTTGCAGAGTAGACAGTCCGACGTACTTCATAAGAGGCATGGCGAGTTTTTTAAAGTTGTATTTTTTGTCATAATTTTTTGGAAAATAAAAAATTAAAAAAAAATATTTTCACTATTTTTTTTTTACATACTGTCACCAGTGCAGTACAGCGTCATCATATAACTGGCATGGCGGTGATCAGGGACACTGACTGGTGACAGTGTGAAAAAAAAAATATATTTTTTTTAATTTTTTTAATATTTTAAATTTTTTATTACTTTTTTTTTCTTTTTTTTCAGATTTTTTTTTCATATTTCACTATGTCCAAATTAGTACAATGTTACCATAGTAACATTGTACTACTTTGGGTAAGTGATCAGTATTTTTTTTTTTTTTATACACAATTTGCTTATAAAGAATTACTTTGTATAAGCAAGCATTTACCTGAATGACATCGATTCATTCAGGGGTTTTTTTTTTTTTTATTTTGTGCTTAGCTGTGATTTGGCCACAGCTAATCACATGACATGTGCATGTGATTAGCTGTGACCATTCACAGCTAGAACTAGTATACAATGGATGGCATGAATGAAGCCATCCATTGCATACAACTGTCATGTGACCTGCTGTGATTGGTCACAGCAGGTCACATGGTACCGGCAACAGGGGCCGGTACTCAGATCTGTCATCGGCCGTGTCCAAGGTACACAGCCGGTGACAGATTGCACTGCTGCGCGGCTCTGCAAGCGCGCGAACTGCGCATGTGCGAGAGGACGCCATATGGCGGCCTCCCGGAAAGCTAGTACATTTTTCAGGATGTCATACGGCTATTGGCCAGGCGTCAAATGGTTAATAAGTCCCACTCCAAATCAATAAAGTGAAAAATAAAAATAAAAAAAACATATTCATAAAAGTCCTTTTTCCAAAAAAACTTTTGACCCGTGTTTCCGCCAAAATAGTGCTCAAATACCACACCACACTCACCAGATATTGGTGGAAAAAACACCTTTTATGGTTTTTTTGAGATCCTAGACTCAGTCAATAAGCCTCCAAACACCAGATATTATTGGATCTCCCCTACTCCAGACAGGAATATAGCCAGCCTCCAGCCTCCAGGATCACCAGACACCACTCTCCAAGAAAAAGTTTTGAATAATGCAGGGAAAAAAAACAAATATATATAGTGTAATACTGCAATACTCGGGCAGAATATTTCGGTGGCAACACAGGTCAAAAGTTTTTTGGGAAAAAGGACTTTTAAGAATGTGTATTTTTATTTTTCACTTTATTGATTTGGAGTGGGACTTATTAATTTTCATTTTTTTATATATTTTTATCAATTATTATTTATTTAATTTTTCACTGGAGTGTATATTTATTTATATATCTGCGCTGTTTTGATGTCTTATATTTTTTGGTGTTTACACTAATGAGCAGCAGCATTTATTTATTTATTTATTTATTTAGTATTTATTATTATTATTATTATTATTAATACGAGTTTATATAGCGCCAAAGGGTTTGCTCAGCGCTGTACAATAGGGGGGACAATACATGGCACAGCACAACAACAACAAACAACATACGAGGGGTAAGAGGGCCCTACTCTTACGAGCTTACAATCTAGGAGGTAGGGGGTAGTGGAACAGTAGGAAGTGGCTGAGGGGGATGAAGTGGTGGGAGGAATGAGGGAGGATGGCCGTTAGGTGAGGGTGGGGATAGGCTTCCCTGAAGAGATGGGTTTTGAGGGAGCGCCTGAATGTGAATAGGGAAGGCGACAGTCTGATGGATTGGGGCAGTGAGTTCCAGAGGATGGGGGAGGACCTGGAGAAGTCCTGCAGTCGTGCATGGGAGGAGGAGACCAGGGAGCAGGATAGAAGGAGGTCCTGTGAGGAGCGAAGGGTACGGGTAGGGTGGTACTTGGTGATCAGGTTGGTGAGGTAGTCAGGGGCAGTGTTGTGAACGGCTTTGTAGGTCAGGGTTAGGAGTTTAAATTTGATGCGTTGGGCAATCGGGAATTAGTATATAATTTCAGGGTTTTGGCGCTGGTGATTTTTTTATATATATCTTTCTATGGCATAGACTTGCTTCAAACCAGATCACCTAATGTGAATTCTGTCTTCTGTGTTCTACTACATATGTCACTTCTGATAGTTTATGGCTATGACGGGCCATCCCGGGAAATGGCCCTGCCCCCCCAGCACACAGCAAGTCAGCCTCAGATGAGTGGAGGTGCCATTAACAATTAGGGGTACCACTGCATTTCTGCCAAAGGGCAGCGCGTTTCTGTGCATGTTGGGAAAGTGCACAATTTTGCACTTGTTCCCACCATGCATAGATCTGAACCAAGCCTAAAATTGTACAATCAGATTGTAATATGTGTGGCGAAATTAAGGCAGAGTACTCTGCATTAGTGTTGAGCTTGATGTTCGAGTCGAATGTTGAACGGGGGGGGGGTCTGCGGGCAGGAGGGCTCATTAGCATCAGGGTATCCCTTTAAATAAGGGGGGCACCCTGATGATTCCACCCTCCTTGTGAATGAGTAAGGGTTAACTTTAGAAAAAATCAAGATGCCAGACTTTTGAAAAATTCCTTTAATTGAACAAAAAACAAAGCAACAGTTTTTGACAAATTTAATTAAATAAAAGCCAAAAAAGCAAACCCAAATGGTTCCATTGATGTAATCCATTGTCAATCGTGGCGTCTAGTGTTGTCCCAACAACGCCGAAATTTAAAAACAAACCCGATGCCCGCTGACTCGTCCGCACCTGCCGAGAACTCGCCGCAATATGACAGGTCTGACAGTTGCCGGTCAGATGTCAAAAATTGGGCGGAGCTAGCTGTGATGTCGGCAGTGACTTTAAGCAATGAAAAATGACTACCCCTTTAAAAATGGTACTTTCTGAATTTTTTTTTTCACTGATTCATGTCCCTCACGGCAGTACCGAGTCCCCATACCCCTTTTATGGCCAATAACTTGTATATAAGCTTTCAAGATGGGCACTTTGGAATTTACAAGTTTGAGTCCCATAGACTTGCATTGAGTTTGAAGTTTACAGTCAAACGTTCATTAGGTTCAAACGTTTTGACCGCGAACCAAACACGGGGTTATTCGGCCCATCACAACTCTGCATCTGAGAGTACAGCGATTGTATGATGCAGGGCCAATGTTATCTTGGAGACAGGCAGTGATGCAGGAGCAGGTTCCTAGGTAAGGAAACACGGAGAAAGAAAAAACTGGTCACCTACCCAGGTCTATAACTGGCTTCTTAAACAATGAACATGGAAGGCGTCACAAAGTAAAAAATAGGACTATCCAGTTCAACTTGCCAGCCTACCCCAATCTAATTATTATTATTATTATTATTATACAGTATTTATAAAGCACCAATAGTTCGCTCAGCGCTGTACATTACAAAGGGGGACAGAACATGTGACAGAACAATACCAATACAATGCAAAACATGAGGGGATTGAGGACCCTGCTCTTTCGAGTTTACAATCTAGGAGGGAGGGGATGGTGGCACAGGAGGAGATAGCTGTGGGGGATGGAGTGGTAGGAAGAGTGGAAGAGGTCGGCAAGTTAGCAGGGGGTGGGGTAGGCTTCCCTGAAGAGGTGGGTTTTCAGGGTGCGCCTAAAGGAGAGGAGAGTAGGTGATAATCTGATGGGTTGGGGCAGGGAGTTCCAGAGGATGGGTGACACCCTGGAGAAGTCCTGGAGGCGGGCATGGGAGGAGAGGACCAGGGAACTAGAGAGAAGGAGGTCTTGTGAGGAGCGGAGTGTGCGTGCTGGGTGGTACTTGGATATTAGGTCAGTGATGTAGTTCGGGGCAGTGTGGTGGACAGCTTTGTACGTCAGTGTTAGGATTTTGAATTTGATCGTTGCGCAATCAGGAGCCAGTGGAGGGATTGGCAGAGGGGGGTGGCAGAGACAGAGCGGTTGGAAAGGTGAATGAGTCTGGCAGCCGTATTCAGGATGGACTGAAGCGGGGATAGCCAGCGGCGAGGGAGTTCCGTGAGGAGGGAGTTGCAGTAGTCGAGTCGTGATATGATGAGGGAGTGGATGAGCTGTTTAGTGGTTTCTGGGGTTAGGAATGTGCGGATTTTGGTGATGTTGCGGAGGTGGAGTCTGCATGAGTTTGTTTAAAGATTGGACTTGGGGCTGGAAGGATAGGTTGGAGTCCAGAATGACACCAAGTACTCTGGCCTGCGGGACGGGTTCGATGGTAGCGTTGGCTATTGTAGGCAAGGGACATGGATAAAGTATACCTTATCAAAAGAGGGGGATAAGAAAAGCCAGTTCAAAC